TATCTCTCTTTTTTTTTTCATACGTGGGATACACAAATTCCCTGAATTAGCATGTTATAATAAGCATGGGGCCCTCTACCATAATTTTGAAATACATAGCCCCCAGGGTCAAGGGTTCTGGTGTTAGGATGGAGCTTTATTGATCAAATATTTAAGTTCTTTTAAGTCCACAGTGCTAAAATTTCAGGGTTTGTTACAAGGGTACCAGTTGTGGTTGTTTATAGGCAGGTGCTTTGTAATGAAAACTTTATTGTGAGGTCTAATAACCTTATTCACTATGGGAATATTTTCCAGAAAAAATCATAAATCATGAACATAATGAAATTAAAACCATTGACATGTTGATTTCCCAATCTATAATAGTGAAACTGCATTAATTCTTTTAAATATTTTCCCTCCATCTGTATATTTTGCAGACAAATAAGTGCATGGTTATGAGGAGCAAGGGTGCCTCCACCTAATTGTGAAATTCATGGCCCCTCAGGATCAGGGATTTTGGTGTTAGGATGGGGTTGTATTGAACAAACAGTGAAAATGCATTATTCTTTAAAGATCTTCTTCAGCTGCTCCTGGGTATCTGGCAGGCATACCTAGTACAAGTTTGTAATGAGAATAGGTGCCTTTATTTTAATTGTGAAATTCATGGCCCCCTGGGTCAGAGATTCTGGTTATAAGGATGGGGCTCTTTTCATCAAATACTTGTGAAAATGCATTAATTCTTTGAAAAACTTCTCTACTCCTGGGCATCTTTCAGGTAAACCAAGTACATAGTTGTAATGAGCAAGAATGTCTTTTTAAAATTTGAAATTCATAGCCACTGGGTCAGATGTTCTGGTGTTAGACATAACTCTGTTTATGATATAATAAAAATTCATTAATTCTTTGAAAATCTTCTTCTTTGCTCCTTCACATCTAGCAGGCAAATAAAGTTCATGTTTGTAACGAGCAAGGGTGTTTTTACCAGATTTGTGAAATTCATGGCCACTGGGTCAGGAGTTTTGGTGGTAGGGCAGGGCTATTCACCTTTAATGATTAATCAATGTATATAATGTAAGTATTATTTAGAGAACGAGACAGGTACTGTATCGTAGATACAAATTTGGGGGTGGACGAGTGCGTAGAACGAGTCTCCACCCCCAAATTTGTATCTACGATACAGAACCTGTCGAGTTCTCTAAATGATTTGTGACACGATCAATCAAAAAAAAAAGCACTGCCCACTTCATAGTTGTGCAGCATCCAAACTTCAGCCAGAGTTCATTTGTTCTCTCTGTAGATGAGGCCTCGACAGGGAGTATACATCCGCAGTATATTCCACGGACAACGTAAGATTTAGTCAGATTAGTTTTGACAACGGGGTAGACGTAACAGACTTGATAAGGTGGACGATTTAACCTTGTTGTATATGGAGATTGATCCTAATTTATTTCAGGGGTCTTAAACTAGATACACATACAGGCGATACAGACAGTTTTTCAATGGACTTTGATGTTACGAATTTTTATTTTCTTATTGAAATGCGACATAAAAAACAAAGTGAAAGAGATGTGCGACAGTCGTCAGCGATAAGGATTTGAGATGAAATTAAAAAAATCCCTGAAAAATGGACTTGATTGAGTTTGCACAAGAAGAGTGGAAAATGGGGGAAGGGGGAGTGCGAATTCCACCTAATGTATGCTGCATCTGCGAACCCATTTGCTTTACTATTTTGAAGGGGACACAAAAAGCAGGGAAAGCAAGCAGGTTTTCAGGAATTTATCAAACATAGGATGTTTTCCATAATTGCGAATTTTCCTTTTTGTTTGGATCGAAATAACGTGTAGATTCTGTGTGGAATAATTTTTTAAAAGTGATTGAGAAATTTTGACATTTTACATTCCTAAGGAAATGTTTCTTCAAAATTTATAATAGGAAAAAAATCAGCATTTACTATTTGTACGCACTTTTGATAAATTGAATCAGATTTATTTTTAGACCGTGCTGTATTTTAGATACAGAACAGTTGGCTAATACAAGACAGTATACAGGGCTAATACAGAACGTAAAGTAGCTCCGCCCACTGTTTTCCCATTCTGTATTGCTAATACAGAACAACAAACTTCAAAGAAAAACACCGCAATTGTGTCACAATTGATAGGTATATTGAATTATAAAGAACTATATAAGAATTTTTAATACAAAAAGTACCTCTGTAGTTTTAAATGGTCAGGTAGACTTGTAAGTAATTAATAAATAAACATTAGACATAAATACTTCATATTTAAATCTGTACCATAAGTATTACTTAAAGAGGAGGAGGCTTTGATGTTAAGGTGTGTGATTGGTTTACTATGACTACTACAAGAGTTTCATTCTAAAGAACTGGTTTGGTGATAGTGACATATACAGGCAAGAAATAAATCTACTTTATGAGTTGTTGTGGATTACCAGACAAACTGTTTTTCAAACTTGATCACCCAATTTCTCTTGTATCTTCCTCTATTGATTTATTAATGATATTGCCATTCTGTGGGTCCTTTACAGGGTTATATTATACTCAGATGAGCATTAAGGCCTTTGGGCCTCTTTTTTTCATCAAATATAATTGAAGGAAGTGGCTGGAAAATTTGACTTATATATGATGTTTTAATTTTCCATCAGCTCTGTGTCACGTCACAAAATCTCACTTAATCTTGAGGCTTTGGCAAAGATGGCCCTGAGGAAGTGATTTTACTGCTGCTTGGTGACAAATTTATGTTTGATGCCTCAAATAATAACCATGCAAACATTGTACAGTACTAAATGGATGCTAACCTTGTGTTATATTTAACAGTTTTGTGCTTTTAAACTGTTTGAAGCACTCTGTCAGTCCTTAATTTTGCTTGATTTTCTGTTTTGCATCTCAATAATCCTGTCAAAGCTTTCAATCAATGTTGACTGATTCATTCTAAAGTGCTCAGTCTACAGTTTTTGATATTCATTTTCATAAATGCAAGTACACTAAGGCTAGCAATGTAGCCCATGAGCCTTTTGATCAACTTTTACAATCATCTTTTTTTTCAATTGTGTATAGGCTTGACACAATTTGAATTTTTTCCTCATGAATTTTGTTCACATTATTAATCCATTTGAATACACCGTTTTAAGCTTATCTGTAATCACCAATGGAAAAAAAGGCTCCATTTGTGTGTGGTTCATCAAATTAAGTGTGTCAATGGTTATTGCTGATGGAACATTTCTTTACTATGGGGAAATAAAGTCCTGAATTGATGGAAATGATATTATACTATGTTTGTGGCTAAGGACTATTTTATTTGACCAGGTCACAACAGGCAATTCTGCAGAATGCATTGAAGTTATTGATTTGTGTAAACTTATACAATGGCCAAATTTCATGCAAGGTCATCATTAATCAAGTCATGTGACCTATTAGTTTCCCATACAGTACCAGTTCACTAATGTACAGTATATGAAGCACATTAAGTGAATGATTCAGGGTTGGCTATATGAAAATCATTCAGTTTTCATATGAAATACAGTAAAAACTGGCTTGTATGGAACTTGGATATAAGCAAACTTTGTTAATACTGTTCCCTATCACTTATAACACTTTCTTGTATGGATATTATAAAGAAATTAAAATTTTGTTCTATAACTTCATGTCCCGTGAGGACTTCCTTTATGCATGTTTTACTGTAGACTGTAACCAAATAGATATCTGATATCAGGAAGAAATCTTTCAGTATAGAATTCACTAAACTGACTTTGTTAACATAATTAGGGCCAAAACTTTTTTGCAGCAGCTAAATATGAGGCCAGGCCAATGTGATAAAGGGTTAAGATAATGAACAGTGGTTAATGTCATAAATCCTGAAAACAAAACCATGAACAGGGCAAAAACATGAATCCCTGGAAAAACAACAGGGGTGGGGATCAGGATTTGAAGGAGCAGACATCCCCTGTTGACTAGTCACACCTGCCTTGAGCCCTCTGTATTAATCAGGTAAATGAAGTAATTTGTAGTCAAAATTGGTATAAAAACAAAAGCCTAAGAATTGGTAGGAAACTTGTCAGTCAAAATATGACCCAATAAAAAGTTGTATTTGCTAAAAAGGTCATTATAATTATAAATGATCAAAGAATTTGCGAAATGTTGACTTTAAACAAGATTGTTAAAAGCCTTGTAACAACAACTTATTAGTCAGTAGTCTGCCTTGGTTTAGAAATTATCAGACCAGGTCAAATTTTGACCAGGTCTGGCTACTGGCTAATGAGACTAGGCCAGGTTTAATAATTGCCAAATGCCTCCCAAGGTTAAACAATTTGAATACATGATTAAGACATGGTTTTGTAAAAACCACACAATTTTTAAATAGGATGACACCTATGAAACCTTGCATAATCACCTGTTTTTCTGTAATTCGATGCACTCATGCCACCCAAAAGATTTACTTTGTAAGATAAAGTGTGATGGTCTATGACCAAACAACAACAAGGCATTCTTTGCACTTTGAGTCAGCTTGTAATGTGTCAGTATAAATGCATCATGAAGAAAGGTAATTATGTAACATGCACTTGAAATAATGAAAAGTTCTTAAGATGATTTGGAGGCTACCACAGCTAGGGAAAGTTGAGGTGCTGTCCTGTAAATGCCAATCAAGTTTAGGAAAATTTGGTTATTTTGTCTGACAAAGGACTGGAAGAAGATCCTAAATTCATTTTGAGCAGACACAGACAGGGGATTTTCTCTCATAATTTGGGATGTAATTGCTCTTCAGAATTACTTCAGACGCTTAAGGTTTATTTCTTACTCATCTGTTTTTTTAGACAAGGATGTTGCATGTATGCTCTAGTATGGATGTAAGCCTATAGTTACAATCTCTAGTGGTGTCTGAAGTAATGCGTAAAATGCCGAAAGAGGAATATTTTTTATTTGTCGATTGTAGCTTTTTGCAGCCATTGTGTAATTTTCATTTTTCTGTAACTGATTGATCATGTGATTATTGTTTTTTTTTCTGTAGATTACTACAAAGAGTTGCCTGCATCCAGACAGTTTAATTTGAAGCAAGAAACCACTACCCCTTTATCATCAACAGAAACACATCCCATAATTCTCGGAGACTAGTCACTGAATATTGGAGAAAAACGATTCACGCTCTCAATAGCTTCCTGTGCTAACACACATAGGCTTGGCTGGTCTGCTATAGAGAGACTGTGACAGGCCCACTCTCTCGTTCCGAGGAATGGAAGATACTGCAGAGTCCCAGCTACAAGGTCTCAATTTGCAAGGTAAGAATATTAATTAGTGAAAAATGATCATTTTTCCTTTATTTTTCAGCTGTTGAAACACTCAAAATAGCTTTATGCCATAAAAAGGAAAAAAAATTGATAGAAAATCAATATTGTAGCAGACATGAATTTGTGTTTAAGTCTGGCTGTGGGATTTTCTGGATTGCTGTAAGTTTATTCTAGGATACTAATGTAGGAAAAACTATGTTTCATTGAAACACTTGCATCTTATGACTTGATTATAAATGAAAATTAGATAATATAAAGACATTATACTGCACATCAGAACTCAATATTTGTACCTGGCAATATTCAGGTAGGGCCTGAATGAAGGCATGCATGATTTCAAGTAATTCCGCTTGTTTGAAAACTCAAGTAGAGGTTTTAATTTCATTGTTGAAAGGTGGAAGTTACACTCCGATGACATTTTTTGTATATCTCTTGTTACAGTGCTTCTTAAATTTTGATTTTGACCTGGACTTGGTACCTTTTTTGGTCAATTTAAGCAGTGTAAACATTGAATATATTTGAGAACATGGTTGTTTTACATCTATTGATTCAGTATATTGGTTTTAGAGGAAATATTCACTGAACATTGAATTAATGTTTTATAATTATGTCATAAAAAAGTGTTTTATTCATTCAAAACTCTGCTCATTCCCAAAGAACATGCATGTACCATCACCCCCATTTTCATCCATTCATCTGTGTAATATCGTAGCATTTTTATCCATTTTCATCCCGTATATAATATCATAGCATATGACTTGCATGACAGGCGTAGGTTTGTCCATTATTCCCATCTCCTCAAATATCATGAGTATAATTGTCTGACTCTGTCCATATCAGTAATCAATACACAAACCCCTGATGTTTCCTGCAGGATTCAGATTAAAAACAAGTCTTCTACACTAAGATTAAAAAAAATAATACTCAAGCTGGGGACAAGAATGGTGTATGATTAAATACCAGAGACTGAAGAAGTTCAAAAAAATATTCCTGTTTTGTTTGGTCAGCTATTGTTGGCCAGAGCAGGTATTGGGAAAATATAGCAGTCTGTGTTTGAATTGTAATTATATGAATGGTTCATTGGTTTCACAATGGTGATTTCTTCTGTAAACAGAGGCTGTATCAGTGAGAATAGGAATGGTCCTTTTTTCCTAAGCCTGCCTCTTAAATATTGATGGTTTCTGCCACCAGAGTGTATAGGGACTCTGTGTATTCGTTCATCCAACATGCATAAAGTCATGAATTCCAAGAGTTGTGTTTTGTGATAAAAACTTGAGTTTTTGGCTGTACATGTGTATGACACTCTGACAACTTTTTCATTGGTTTTCTAAAAATTTGAACATCTTCTTTCATAAAAATTTGTGAAAGATGGATGGCCTTAAGGTGTCATTTTGTCATGTTGTTCCCAAGTAATTTAGTCTATGTCAGAAACAATTTGTTGAAGCATTTTGGGATAGGTGTCAATTACAGCTTATGTGCTACAATAAGATCATTTCTTATGCAAAGGATTTTTGTATGGGAATTTTTGCTGAATTCAACAGATCATTCTCACAACATTGCAGCCATGTTAATTCTGTAGTGGCATCTGAAGGAATAAAACATTCAGAAAATATTGATCTTCTGCAAAATGCTGCATATCAGTTTACTAATGTGCCATTCTTAGTTTATCACTTTGAAAACAACTTTCTTATGGCAGAGTTTAAAGATTTCCTCCTCTGTAGGCTAACTGGATAAGAGTAATAGACTTAATTTGGATAGGAGTAATAGGCTCATCCTGGATAAGAGTAATACATAGGCTCATCTTGGATAAAAGCAATGGGCATAATCTGGATAGGAGTAATAGGCTCATCCTGGATAGGAGTAATGGGCTAGTCCTGGATAGGAATAATACGCTCATTCTGGATAGGAGTAATCAGGCTTATTCTGGATAAAAGTAATAGGCTCATCCAGGATAGGAATAATAGGCTCATTCTGGATAGGTGTAATCAGGCTTATTCTGGAAAAATGTAATAGGCTCATTCTGGATAAAAGTAATAGGCTCATTCTGGATAGATGTAATAGGCTCATTCTGGATAAAAGTGATAGGCTCATTCTGTATAAAAGTAATAGGCTCATTCTGGGTAGAAGTGATAGGCTCATTCTGTATAAAAGTAATAGGCTCATTCTGGGTAGAAGTAATAGGCTCATTCTGGATAAAAGTGATAGGCTCATTCTGTATAAAAGTGATAGGCTCACTTGGATAGGAGTAATAGGCTCATTCTGGATAGGCCATAGGTCCACTGTAGACAAACTCACCTGAAGGCTGGAGCAGGTACATGCCCCCTTTTACATGTAGGTGGCTTGAAACTATGGAGAGAAAAACATGCATTGACCATGATAAATGTCTTCAAGTAGTGGTGCTAGGGTTAATTGATGACCAGCTGACCTTTTAATTACCAGTCCCAACTCTCTATAAACATTACGCTCATACATAAGGTCAAATAATATTTTTAAAAAATGAACTGGATCAGACCATATGAAAGAATCATATTTCTACTGTTTTATTACTATTCACTGATAAAAAGTAAAAGGTGATAATTAAATTGAACCTTTCCATCTAACTTGTTTTTCTGTTATCCTTTGATTGTGCTTGATAACCTGTTTCGTAACAAGCTGACAATTTCATTTTAAATCTAAACAAGCAAATTCAAAGAATTGTGGTCCCCTGCTTTCGGTGTCTTAGTGAATGGGATGTCATTTTTTTTTGGCATATTGTAACTGTCTTGTTTGTGTCTCCTGTCTTGTCTGTGCATCATACAAAAAAGACATAAATTATTGAATTAATAACAGTTACGGCAAAGACTATACCTTCTCAAAACTACATCGAACTTTAAGATCAAGGTCATGAGGTCAATGAGGTCAAATATCATAGTACAGTCCAAAAGGTCTTGTCACAAATAATGCACATGTGAAAAAAAATATCAAAAACCAGAGTATACAATGGCAAAGGTCTTGAAACAGGTAATGCACATGTCAAATGTAAATGCCATATCTTCTCTCAAAGTTATCAACAATGTTAATTTTTTTTTTAAAATAGGTCGAACTTCAAGGTCAAAGTCATGGGGTTAAAAATCATAGTACATTTGGAAATGCATGTCACAGGTAATGCACGTGTTAAATATAAATGCCCTATCTTCATTCCTTCAAAAGTTAGCAACACTAATAAAATGTTTGAAAATTAGGTCAAACTTGAAGGTCAAGGGTCAAATATCATAGCTCATTCTGAAACATTTTGACACAGGCAATGCACTTGTCAAATATGAACGCCCTATCACATGTCATTCAAAAGCAATCACCAAAAATAAAATTTTTGAAAACTAGGTCAAACATGAAGGTCAAAGGGTCAAAAATCGTAGCATTTTCAAAAATGTCTTGTCACAGGTAATGCACATGTCAAATATGAAAGCCCTATGTTTACTCAATCAAAAGTTAAAAAAGCAAAGATAACATTTTTGAAAAGTAGGTCAAACTTCAAGGTCAAGGGGTCAATAACTATAGTATATATTTGGAAAGGTTTTGTCACAGGTGAGGTTATGTAGATATGTAATATGAAAGCCTAACTTTTCTCATTCAAATTTTATGACTAATTTAAAGTAATGTTAAAATTTTTTAAAAGTAGGTCAAACTTCGAGGTCAAGGTCAGGGAATCAAAAATCGTAGTATATTTGGACAGGTTTTGTCACTGGTAATGCACATGTCAAATATGAAAGCCCTCATTCAGAAGTTATAAGCAGAGATAAAAATTTTGAAAAGTAGGTCAAACTTCAAGGTCAAGGGGTCAAAAACCATAGTATATTTGGAAAGGTCTTGTCACAGGTAATGTACATATGTAAAATGAATGCCTAACTTTTCTCATTCAAATTTTATGACTAATTTAGAGTAATGTTGAAATTTTTGAAAAGTAGGTCAAACTTCAAGGTCATGGTCAAGGGGTCAAAAACCGTTGTATATTTGGTAAGGTCTTGTCACTGGTAATGTACTTGTGAAATATGAAAGCCCTACCTCTTCTCATTCAAAAGTTATGACCAAAGTTAAAGTTTTTGTGACAGACTGACAGATGGACAGATGGACAGCGTCTTGACCTTTTGAAATGAAAATTTAACATAAGTAAAGTCAATACATATTTATACCCCCTGATTGAAAAGTGGGGGGTGTATAGTGATGGGGGTGTCTGTCTGTCTGTCTGTCCGTTACGCTTTGGGGTACACATCCCTTATCTGCAACTCCTCTTATACCACTGAATAAAATTTAATGACACTTTCAGAGAATCTTTGTTACATAGTACCATTGTGCACCTCCTATTTTACTTTCTAATAGGAAAACATAGACAAGGCCATTCTTTCCATAATATTAAGGGGGACCCATCTCTTATCCCCAACTCCTCTTATACCACTGAAATAAATTTAATGAGTCTTTCAAAGAATCTTTGTTACATAATGCCATTGTGCACCTCCTATTTTACTCTTTGATAGGACACTTATTTGGGGTCTCCCATAGCGGGGGATATCATTTTGTGACATCAGTACTCACAATACCTCTGGTTTTAGATGTTAGACTTAACTGTCCAGTTTTTTTGGTTTTATGATGAGGTCAAACATTTTGCTCATGTGATTTTTTTGCAAAAATGCCTTTCAACTAAAATTTGTATGAATAAAAAAAATTCTATGATTCTGACACTAAGGTGTCAGGTTATGTTCTTGCAATGAAAATCTTTAGCAAGAATCTTGATTTTCTTGTAAAAGTCAGTCATTTTTTAAATGATAGACTTCACAGGCACAGCTTGAATCTGTCTGCGGCCTTTTTATTTCCAAATGAAGGAAGTTCATAAATGATTTACATAAAGCGTAGGAAGTATTTTAAAATACGCTTTATAATCGGAATCTGCATGCAGTGCCCTATATGGCCTAGAGGCATCATTTTCTGCATTGATCAGTCACCTGAAATTTCCAAAT